ATTTAAAACATACTATTTATGTTGAGACAACAGTACATCGGCAACATAATTACACAATATTTTCTTTTGCACACAGCAAGTAATTTGGTTTCTTCTTGTTCCCTTGTTCGTCGAGGCAGTAGTAGACCGTGTCGAATAACTCCAGGAGACTATTATACTGAAAAATCAATTCAAAGGGGTCCGCTTTAGATAGGTACAACACGCAATTTATTGTAACAGGAACCATGCCACACGTAGGAATAAATTAATCACATAATTGCAGGGTTGTGTCCACATAATTTGAAGCCCCAGGCACCTTAAGCTTTGAATAGAACAGCAACTTTGTAAATTTGCAGTGTTTATGAAGTATTTGACGATAAAACACAAGAACTGGGATATGGATTACGCTAAATATAAAGTAAAGTATGTACAGTGGGTGGCCAAATTATTAGGGACAGTACTCATATTTATGAAGTTTCTAGTTCAGATTTTTGTTTTGAAAAAATAGGTCTTCACAAGGTTTTTTTATTTTGTACTGCAGCTGGTACTGTTATTAATATTTTTGTTGAGTGGCAACCTGATATCCTGCATCATTTATCAGATAAGTGAGGTAACTCTTCGTATGGTGGTAGTTTGTTAAAAACTTTTGTTACAGTGAGATCCTAAAAAATATTTCTGAATCGTTTTTCGTGAGTTTTTCCTGTCACAAATTATCAAAACGTTATTGATATTTCGTATAGAATTACTATAATAAACAATGAAGGAATTGTAATTTCCCAAATGACAGTCCGAAGGTGATTGGCAGAAGAAAACCCGATCGGTCGTTGTCGACCAAAAAACCACCTTTGATGGAGGTCATGAAGAAGATGCGGCTGCAATGGGTCCAATAACTCCAAAATATGACTGCATTCGAATGAGAACAACTATCTAATTAAAATAGTGTTAATAAAGATTTTTTTTGTGATTATCTCAATATTTTCCGAAGAATCAGCGTTTCAAATTTTGGTCGACAAAACTTCATTTCTCCGACGACGTCTTGGAGAGAGCAGTTCCAATTTCCATCCATACTGCCTTGTGGTGAGGGTTAAACACCCGGTAATTATGGTATGGTCTATGATTCCAGCAAAGGGCATAAGACGCCTTACATCGTGGAGGGGATCATGAGGCAGGATCCGTACACACGAGTACAAAAAATCCGGCTACTGCCACAGAGCGAAGAATGGTTCCCTGGTGATGCAGAATCCATTTTTATGCACGATTTGGCACCGTGCCACAAAGCCAGGAGTGTTAGTGCATTCCTGGCCCAAAAACATTACCATTTTGCCCTGACCGGGCATGAACCCTATAGAGAACATGTGGGGACTCACCAAACGGGCGATTGCTAATGAGCTGATCACCACCAAGCACCGATTGATTGAAACTCATCAGAGAATGGCACCACAACGTCGAACTCCAACAGAATTCTAAAGTCTATATAGAGAGCATGCCTCGAGACATAAAAGCTCTATTTGCGGCAAAGGGTGCATCACTAAATACTATTAATTTTAGCAGATTTCCATTAATGCACATATAGCTTTTACGAACAAAAATAAACAGTTTCACCCACGTAACTCGTTGTTTTTATGATCTTAGTAATACACTCTTTTAAATAAAAAATAGCTGCCAACCATAGAACCAACTGTTCAAAAAATTCAGTCAAACTAGAAAATAGAAGAAACTGAATACTGTCCCTAATAATTTGTCCACCCACTGTATATTGTCTCGTCTTACCTTTACTGAAATCTGTTGTATTTCATTAATGTGTTTCTGACATTCTTCAATGTTGTTGTACAGGGTCAGGATTAAAGGAACGAGGAATTTCTTGTAAATGGCTGCCCAACTAATACAAATGCTACTATTACATCGCTTAAAGTTATATAACTGTTTTTTTTTTAATAGCAACAAATGTATCTTTTCAGATTTTTAATGCCTTAATAAGGTGTTAATTTACTCCTATAGCAATTTTGGTATATAAAAAAGCTAATCTAATAGTAAAATTATACAACAATTTTATAAATGCTTTCTTAGAGTCTTATAAACGTGATAAATGAAACTTCTATAAAAGTTTAAAGTGTAATAGCTGCTTCCTTGTTTTTTATAATGTTATAAACACTTACCGGTCAACTTTTAAAGCTTTAATGCAGTATATTGATTGTACTATTTATGTTGTATAACATTATCATTTAAATAGACTATATAACTAAATTATAAATAATGTTAGCTTTTTAAGTTAAATAATATCAAAACAAGCTTTAAAAAAGATTCTATAAAAGGGTTTCATTACAACTGTAAGCAGAATAGTTTAAGTAGTTTCTTCTATTTTTGAGAGATGCAGCAATACATATTGTACTTATAAAACTACTAGGTATATAGTAAAGCTTTCGAAGACATAAAAATATCAGGAGATATTGTCCGTAACCTAAAAAAAATCTGTGAATTATGGCGATAAAACTGCACGTTGTTTTTAGATTTTAAATACCTACTATGCGTTATGTCCTCGAATATTATTAGTTACCCTACAGGAAAACACTGGAATTATTAATTTTAATCATATTATTAGGTTCAAATAAGCTCTTTATTATTTCAAATAAACTTGCCAAATTTCATTAAAGAGTTTGTTTATACGATACGTTGCTTTTACAGTCACTGCAAAATTATTTTGTGCTGCAAACAACAACACTAAAAATACTGTAATACTGTTTACTGATTATAATTTCATTAATTATTAATTACAATTAACACAATGATTTCATCTTTAGACATCCATTCACGTCTCTTCTAGAATGTATTCGTTGTTTGTGACCAATAAGCGGCTGATTTGCCCATATGATTATCAAATTTGTGACTTTGTGACAGTACTCCGTATATTTGTCTCTTCTAAACTCTACTAGCAGTGCTATTAGTTAAAAGTGTTTTATCATTCAAAATCTTCAGAGCTTCTTTCAGAACATTTTAAAATACAAGTAAGCACTTACTAGCCATACCATCTTACTTATACATACTACTTTACTATCTGTTCTGTTGAAGCCATTGGAATTGTAGCAGGAAGCAGTTTACGCAGAATTTTTAAACTGACAGTAGACAATAAATTACTCTACAAAATACTATATAATTTAAAATCTTAATTATTGTATAACAGATTTATAGTTGCTGTGGTAGAAGTATCCTCCTGGCATATTTTTCAAACATGCTTAGGACAAGATGTCAGCCATATTGTACATCAGTATTACGTCAAAAAGAAATTCAATTTTATAATATATGTATCATGAAATAATTAGTTTAATGCATTATTATTTATTGGATTATGTTTAATAACTTGTTATGTACATATTCTTTATTTTTTTATTGAATATTTTAATGAATTGATTTTATTGAAAATTGTGACATAATTTTTCAAAAATTATGACGATTGCTAAATCTGCTTAATTTTAAAGGCGCTTAGTTTTTTTTTAAAGGTATCATGATATAATCAATATCAATTTTCATCAATAAAATTTTCGTTGCAAGTAGTTTTTTATTTTGTAGATACATATTTAATTTTATTGTGTATATCGGTAAACATTAACTGTTGAGTACCTATCTTATATGGCCGACAATCAGCAATAGCCCAAAGCTTTTAGTTTTATTGTCAATAAAACGATTTAGTATAGAAACACATAATTATAATGCTAAAAAGTTTTGTTGTATATTGGAAACATTAATACAACATTCATCGCGTTATAGCTTTTATAAAACATGTATAAACTTTTCTTTGGAGACAATTATATATTAGCAAATTTGTTTTATAAGACAATGTTTCTGTATAAAGGTTTTATAATATATTTTACATTTGCTGTAAGAATGCAACGACAGAACACTAATTAGTGGAATAAATATTATATGCACAACTTTTATAAAATGGTTTTATAAGCTGCGCCTATTTTGGATTTATAAATGCTTATTTAATGCTGAATAACTGTTCTCAACATCTTTTAATAAAGCTTTTACCTGTGAGAGAGTGGTTATATAGATATCCTTAAAGCTATTATTAACTTATCTCTGCTACTTGGGTGGGGGGATAAAGATGAATCCATAACTGTTCCTTCAGTACGTTTATAAAACAGATCCTTAGGAGGTCCATCTGCCACATTTGCCAAGTCCCAAAAATTTTCATGCTTGACTTATGTAAAGACTCTTCGATCAAATTCTCCCAAAGTTTTTAGCACTTTTGTAAAAATGATGTCACTTCAAACTTCAAACAAGGATGTCGTCTAGATCTGGTCGGATTCTCTTGATGTTGTCGGTAAAATTCAGAGCGGTTTTGTCTCGGTTCTTCTCCGCCAAGTCTTTAATTTTGAATAGCCAGTCTAACTGCATTTACTATTTATAAGAGTGGTACGTTTGAAGGTTACAAAATTACATTATTCTTGAGTCACTTAAACTGATAAGTAATACCAAAGTTCTAGCAAAAAAGAGAATTTTTTCAAGGCACCAGAAAAACAATACAATTTCAGAAAAATTCAGATAATTTCAACCTAGATAGGGTTTATAACTGTTTTGAATTTGGGAACGACTCATCTTTAATTTCATCTCATCTCCAGTTTCAGAGCCTCTCCTTCTCCTTAAGAAGAAAATAATAAATCACTCTCGAATTGTCAATCAATAAAAAAAACACATGACAACCTACCCGGAATATGTTCATGTAGATATAAAAATGATCTATGTTGATGTGAATTTAGCTCAACTGCTATCGTTTTGCCAAAAATAGTAGCAGAATAAATCGAGTTGATATTAGCTGCTAATTTTCGTCAAACGAAATCTGCTTGTTACGTACCAATCAAAAGACGATTTCTTCTTCGTCCAAATAAACAGTAAAAACAAATTATGACTCAAAACACATATAACAGTTCACCAATCGTAATGATATATGGGGAAAATGACGTGAAGCCGGACCTGTGCACTGGGAAATATTATGTATATAAAGATAACAGTGGCTAGTCGAAACGATTGCTGTTTACACGGGTTTACTGTAGTCATCCGCTTACTTCCTTAGTGTAAAATGAAAAATTTGGCTGAGCTGCCCAAAAGTGAACAATTGGCGTTCATTAATTCTTTCGACCATGTTCTGTCCGATTTAGATGGTGAGTTTTATTACAGCGAACATAATATTTTTCTGTTTGTAAGTTTTTCCTATGGGAAAAGTTACTACAACAATGTAAGTAATATCTCACTGTATACTTAATTGAATTACTTCCAATAATATAAAATATTACATAGCATCTTTTAACCTTCCAATTACTTAAGTGATTGTGTACACGAATTTCATACTTATCTGATTACAAACAAGAACATTAATTCTGATAAATATTATTTACTTCACACGTTTGCATTATGAAAATACATTATTCCGAATTCATATCCAAATCTGCTAAAGGAAAAGAATACCTTAATGATGGAGATAAGCCTGATATGCATTGTTTGTTATATACTTTTTCTGCGTTAACGACAAAATTATTTCTCAGATTTCTGCATTATAATTGAAACTAAATGAATTTTAATTCACAAAAAAGTATGTGTGTATTCTTGTTTGTATATTTAAATATTATAAACTTTATTTTGGTTGTTGCTATTTCGTTCTTTAAAAATTATTTGAAACAAAGTAATATAAACACATTCAGAAAACTTTCAGTCGCATACAACTTATACTGTAACAAACATATTTTTCTGTCTTTAAAAGGTTAATGCAGTTGCACTTTGCCAATAACCACAGGATTGTATAGATAGATATGTTTAAAAATAGGGTTTTATCAGAGTCGGCATAGAATCGATTTTTTCTTCCCTAGAAAATGTCTTTTTATCCAGATATGTTCTTCATATGCAGGTATTTATTTTGCAATATTAAATTTAATTTTATACGAGTAAATCGATATTTCCAAAACAACACTCTCCAAGCAGTTACAATAAAATTAGAAAATTATTTTCACTAATAAATGTACACTAACATTGAATTATAATTGTAAATGGTTGCTCACAATATGGTTCTTGTCATATAGGATACAGTTCAAACTGTTATTACTTTGACGTCATCATCAATCAAGAAAACTATTAAATATATATATATATATGAGTAAATATTGGCAAATGAGCAATATATTGCAGTTACTTCATTGTAATTGATATAATTTATGGAATATATACTGTTTTTTATATACAATTTTTTTATCATTCGTATATTGCAGTTCATTACAGAATATATAATGTCTATAAATTGATTATAAGGGAATTTTCAACATCTTACGATTTCAAATGAATAAACGTTTCTGAGGATATGATACAATATTGAGGTTTGAGGTTTACTATCAATATTGTAATTGACTGAGAACTTATTATAATCTCCCAAATGAGGGATATGTCTTCCTAGGAGAAATTCATATATATTTATTTCACATGTATTTATTTTTTATGATTACTAAAATTGCAATCTTCACATTGTTTAATTCTTCTAAATTAGCAACTTCTCCATATATATTTTACAATCTATATAAATGTATTTATAAAATACACGTTCTTTTAATTGGAATGGTAAATAAGTATATAGTTCTCAAGATTTACTACATTCATAAAATGTTTCTAGAACATTATAATTTTATCTTCTCAAATATATTCCGTGTACAATGTTTTATCACAATTATTTAATCATTTCATAAACACTATCTTCATTTTAGGATATGATTTGCACTTTATTTTGGCTACACGATATTAGCACTTATGTTATTGTATCAAATATGCACCTCCAAGTGATCGTACAAACAGGTGTTCATTAACATTCAGCAGTCATATATGAGAGATAACTTTTCCCTGGCGCATTATGAATCGGTTCTATTCAATTTAGCACCATTTCTTTTTTCAGTTACTTGAGCTAGATCAAAAGTAGTTGAAGAAGGTTCTTTCTCTAAATTAACAAGTAGAATACTGTGTGAAGGTCACAATTAATCAATAATTAATTTGTTTTGTTATCTATTAAAATCAAGGTAGAAGAAAAAGAAAACTATCTAGTAAATACAATATAAAAACATGTTATCTTTTTTGTAAAACGTCATTAAAATTTATAGACAGAATACTGTTCATTATATTTAATGAACAATTGTTGCGAAGTTTTGAGCAAAATAACCAGCAAGCATTATGTTGAGTTTCGAATTATACTTATAGAAAAGAGCACGAAAAGGAAAACAAATCCTGGATGTTTATTTTTGAATATTGTGGAGCATTTTATCTATAATAATAATAATAATTGTTACGGAGATTTTTTTGATTAATTAAAAATAAAAATTGTGTAAACCAAATGCTTTATTTAGGAAGACGTATGTTTAAGAGATTATCATCTCTATGTAATTTAAAAGATTTGGCTGGAGCATCCAAATCTGAACAATTTCTATATGTTAATTCTTTTGACCATGTTTTGGCCGATATAGATGGTAAGTTTGCAATATTTTTGAATTATAAGAGCAGTTCGCGTCATATATAATTTTTTTAGTAATGATTAAAGTATGTGTGGGGTGTAATATTTCCTTTTGCACGTTATTTCTGAAAACTGTAAAACCCGCTCTTTGTCTGCACATATATTAGGTATTGGAAATTCATTCCATTCTTAAATCTAATATCTACAAAAGCACCTTTTAAATTTTAGTTCCTAAAACTACTACTTAGTGTAAACCGCAGAAAAACAAAAATGGATCAGTCTCAATAACAAATAATTTCAAAGGCAAATGCTCAAATGTCTATTAAATAATAAAGGTTATTTTTTACGTCACTTCCAAGACGACACATTATTTATTATTTCAAAATCAAGTGCAATAGTTCAAATTAAAATGAAATCAGATTTCGTTTGTCATTTCCTTTGATTGTACCAAATCCGGAGGATCCATTACGAACGGTTGTTCACGGGTTGATTAACTTCTGTCCATTCAGTAATACTCTTTGGTGTGGCGTCCTTGTAAATATTACTCATGGTTAATAGAGATTAATCATGACATATGGTTATCCATATCCACAATAATAATTTAAGTTAGATGTAATTGTAAACTAACAGTTATTTAAGCACTATTATTTTATTTAGTTATTTACTTAAAAAAAAAACTCATATTATTGCAACGGAACCACAAATGTGGAGTCAGATTTCCTGTAAATATTTTTTATATTAATAAAACACCAACTCATTGATAAATCCAGGGACTGCTTGACCTAAATCTATTAACTAAAAATTTTGTTGGAGCACCTAAAGAAAAGCGGAAGTAGTTAATTAATATCAATGACAAAATCGAGTGTTTTACCGGAGGCCAATTGTTAAAAATATATACAGGTTCGGAAAGTACCGATGGTCCATCTGCCGTTACGTGAGAGCGATAAAGTAAGACATAGAAATCCATGCGATAGAGAAGGATGGCTATAATGAAGGCGTCTCATAGTCACCGCCCGTTTCGCCCTTCCACAAATAAGAAGTGGATCTTATTTGTGGAAGGGCGAAATGGGCGGTGACTATTAGACGCCTTCATTATAGCCATCTTTCTCTATCGCACGGATTTCTATGACTTACTTTATCGCTCTCACGTAACGGCAGATGGACCATCGGTACTTTCCGACCCTGTATAAGAATTACTATGTAATTTCATTTTCAACGGAGTTTTCAACATAAGCTGGTACGTACCTGCCTGCATATATCACATGTACCATAAACTAATTTTCTCGCAAATGGCTAATCTGATATTGGCGATTCTTTTTTAATTATTTTTTATTTAACATTAATTTTTGTTGATATTTTTATAATAAACTATCGGCCTTATTTTATCTGTGCATCTCAACTGATCATAGACATAATAACGTGATTTAAAAACAAATTATTCAGAAAATGTAGAAAATGTGGGAATCAGTTTGATTTTTTGTTGTCAGGTGTCAGGTCAGGTCAGGTAAGGTGTTTTCTAAGTAGTCTGAAATATTTCAGAGTGTGATTTTACACCCTGAAAACAATTCAAGTTAACGTATGTCCAAAAATAAGTCATTTCCAAAAAAGAGAGCGTTGAGCCTTTTTTGTCGTTCTTTTTCAACAATAATGGAACGTTTTCTATTTTTCAACTTTTGAACGATTAGACTGCCTGCTGGAGGGCTTGTTTTAATGTGAACTAAAATTTTATTACTTCACAATGGGCGTATATGTTTAAATCTAAAATTTAAATAATAATGTCTATTTTTCGTAAACTGTCATCAAAAGTCGACATTTTCGTTAAATTTTCAGTTGAAAAAGTGAGTCTTTTTTGTCATCTAGCTGCAAAATACTTTTATGTTCTAGAACGCCAAAGTCTTTTTCAAAATAATTTGTCATTTTTTCAAAACTTATGTATGATTTTATTACTTAAACAATATTCATTTTAAGTAGGTAATATAACATTTCAATATAAAACAGTAACTATTATAGACACAACGATTACAATTTATTTGGCACTACTTGTAAATTGAAAGTGCCGATATAGCTTTTAGTTCTGGGTGTTTCTGAAGATGGTAACAATTTATTTTCGATTGAATTTTATTTTGTATAGAATCTTGTATACAGGGTGTCCCAGAATAACGTGTACAGCGGAAGATCACTCATTCGTGGACTCAAAATAGTCTCCGAAATCGCTTAGTTTGGCCGCTAGATGGCCTCAAATTTTTTGAATTATGAAAATAACTAGAATATCTATTAATCGATTTTGATTATTTTTGGGATGTAGAATTTTGCTTTCAATCTACACATTTTGATGTTATACATAATGTTTTTTAAAAATTACAACTTCTACAAAATTGATGTGTGGTGATAATATCCGTTCATAACTTTAGGGCAACAATGACAACTATTTTTAATTTGATAGGTGATATCGTTTGGAAGTTTTTGGGACTGTTGTAGAATTTTTATTAAATGAGCGGTTTGGGTACAAAAAAATATTTTTTAAATGTATACATTATACCAATATTACAATACTTAACAAAGTGCTAGTAGGCACTGATTTTGTAGGAAATTTCAGTTTGATTTGTAAGTCATTGTACGTGCCAATTCTTAATGAGTATTTACTACGATAAGATATACCACATGTTACTTCATTTTTCGATATGGATACACATTATATGTATTAAAGTTATTTACATCATGCCAAATTTTATCGAGATAATTAGTAAAAACAATCAAATACAATAAAAAATGCTAGAGATAAAAGCAGTAAAGTTGACGTTATTAAATTTAGTACAACTAGTTATAAAAACTGTTCAAAATGACCACAGTTATTTCTACAACAAAGGTTAATTCAGCGAAGAAAGTTAAAAGACACCCTTTGCAGTTCTTGAGGGCAATTTTTTAAAACATTTATGGCAATTTGGCACATTGTGAATAACTCTAATTCGTCGTATGTGTTTTGTGTGTGTATCCATACCGAAAAATGAAGTAACAGGTGGTATATCTTATCGTCGTAATCACTCATTAAGAATTGTCAGGCACAATGACATAAAGATTAGACTGAAATTAGTCAACCTATAAAATCAGAGCCTATTGGCACTTTGTTAAGTATTATAATATGGGTGGCACGATAATGTAGACATTTAAAAAATATTTTTTTGTACCCAAACCGCTCATTTAATCAAAATTCTACAAGTGGCTCAAAAACTTCCAAATGGTATCACCTATCAGATAAAAAATACATTTTTCCCATGCCGACATGCTTCACAAAGAATCTCCGACTTGTAGTAGTTGCCGGACGTAAAACACAGTATTTGCGGTATATCTCCGTTAGGTCTGGACTTGAAATCACTAAACATCTCGGAGTATAAGTTTTGGAATCGGAAATTCGTATAATAATAATTGAATTTTTGTTTTCTATAGTTTCTGTTGAAGGTTTAATTTTATTAATTTTATGTTCGAAATATACCAGTAATACCGCTTCGGACACTTTCTGAATTTTCTTCGAACTACACCACCCTTTGAATTCGTTGTAGACAATCTCGTACTGCCACGACGATTTTTTGGGGATTATTTGAGAAACAGCACTTTGTGTCGCTTCCAATACTTCCCCTGGTAAACGCTCGTCTTCATTTCCCGAGCTAATTTTGAATTAAACACTTAGAATATGAATTACAATATATAATTTTGACACTACCCTTTCAAACAACTAATTTTTATTGTTTATTAGTTTGATATCGTTATGATAGTCACTGCGCCTAAAACGTCAACGTCTTGATTCAAACACGGTTCAAACGATTTCAAATATAAATTAAATTGTTGTATATACAGGGTGTTGTATATACAGGGTGTTCCAAAAAGGTTGTGCCAAACTTCAGAATTTTAGAGGGGACATTGTGATGAAAAAGTTTTGCATAGAGACCCCCTAGTCAAAAGTGAGCCGTTTCGGCTCCAAAGTCATCGTACTTCCTGAGCTATTGGACAATGCACACGTTCCTATTTATATACGAGCTAGAATGTGGTTGCAACAAGACGGTGCACCTGCACATTTTTCCCGTATTGTACAGGATTACCTAAGCCAACAATTTCCTGCACGATGGATCGGAAGAGGATTTAAACCCATTGGATTTTTTTCTCTGGGGTTACATCAAGTCGTTGGTGTATGAAACTCCCGTTGACAGCCAAGAGAAATTATTGGGGAGAGTGATGGCAGCCTCTCTTTACGTACAGCAAGATCCGCACATCCTCCAACGGGTGCGTGATTCTATGCTTCGAACAGTGGCGGCGCGTGAACATTGATTGAATGTGTTCTGCTTAGGGTTGTTACATCTGTTGAATTGAATTCCGGGATATTAAGTGCCCGGAGTCTCTAAATGGCGCTGCAGGCGAAAAATTTTAAAATTTTCAAGGTCACGCGTTTTCCTGGCACTTCTGAATTTCAAGGAACAATGAATTTATAAAAAAAATACAGATTTTCACAAGAATGATTTTTGAAATTGATATCTTTTTGAAATATCTATTCACGAATTACCTACTGACGGTATAAATAAATTGGAATAAACTAAATATATTTTATTAAATTATTGAATATTGTTTATAAACAAAAAAATCGTTTGTGAAATTTACCAACGATTCAACGAATTTTAATTTTCCTCGGCGTGTTATGATTTTTTCTTTATCTTTTTTTATATATATGTACATTATATTATATTCCGGGAGTTATACGTGCAAATCCGAAATCCGGGACCATACAGCTAATTCCCGGTACAATCACAGAAAATCCCGGTCATACC